CTATCAAAAGCCTTACTAAAATCTAAGTAAATAATATCAAATTCTTTAGCGTGGTCAACCACCTCAAAAGCTTTATTGAAGAAAGTTAATAAATTAGTTAGACAAGACCGGCCTCTTGTGAATCCATGCTGAGTATCATTAATCAAGGTATGCTTATCGAGATGGCTTCTTATAATCTGAGCTATAATTGACTCTAGTAATTTGCCTACAATTGAGGTCAGGCTTATTGGGCGGTAATTTGACGGTAATGACTTGTCCCCTGTTTTAAAAATAGGAATTACATTAGCCATCTTCCACATATCAGACACTACACCTGTTTGAAGAGATAAATTAAAAATATTAGTTAATGGTTCACAGAGTTCCATTTTGCATTCCTTAACCCTTTGAGGGTCGACAGGCCCTCTCCGAAACTCGTTCTCAGGGTCGGCCAAATTTAAAAAAAAAAAAAAAATATTTTCTCTTATGAAAAGATAGAGAATCTTTTCCCGATCATAAAGACACCAAAAGTTTGAAATTTGATAGAAAACTTACGGAATTATGCTCTCGCAAAGTTAGCGGTCTCGGCGATGTTTACGCATCGGCGATTTTGCCCACTTTGAGCCCCATTTTCGGCCAATTTCACTGTACTAGTCGACAAAAAACATGAATATTTCGCTAGAACTCCATTTTTTCTATCGAATGGGTGCAAGAAACCACCCATTTATAAATTCAACTATCCAGTACAGTGGTCAGAATTTAGCAATTTTGCCAATTTCACACAAATTTCAAAAGATGCCAATTTCCAAATAGGGTCCAGAATAAACAAGAAAGACATTCCTGGCACTAAAATGACATTTCCTCTAGTCATTAGTCACGTCTCAAGGCCCCTCTTATATTCTTTTGCTTTCCACTTTGAATTTTATTCTCACAAAAAATATAAGATTTACTGTTATGCAGACTACTGCATTAGTGTAAAAAATGGTATAAATATTATTGGTGCACTTGTAAAAGAATATTAGACTCACCAGTTGACGTGTATTGCACGCTTGGCACGATTTTGTTTACTTTTGAAGTTTGGTAAAAATCGAACATTTCTGCTACTTTGAGCTCAATTTCAAGGCACCTTTCATTGTAAAACCAGTCAAAATCATCTCAATTTCTGTAATATGTCTTCCATTCTATAAAATGAGACCAAGAAAACTAGAATACAACAATAAATACCATACGAAAATACACTGCAAAGTCGCCGATTTATTAAAAAAAAATGGTCAAAGTTTTTTTTTTCTCATTATGCACTGTGTGCTGCAGGATTTTTTTTAGACTGTGCACACTGACCACATAGACCCATTCTTTCATATGAAGGCCTACCAGCTTTCTCCCACTAGATTTGAGGCCGCTAGAATTTATGAGTACTAGTACGTCAAAAACCCCTACGCGTAAAACGTACTAGTACGACCAAAACCCTCAAAGGGTTAAGAACCCTTGAAAAAACCTCATCAGGACCCGGTGACTTATTTTGCTTCAGTCGGTCTATCTGCTTCACTACCATTTCACTAGTGACTGTGATGTTGCATAATTTATCTTCTTCTGGCCCACTATAAAAATTAATTACTGGAATATTATTAGTGTCTTCCTGTGTAAAAACCAAGAGAAAATAATTATTTAAAATCGAGCACATTTCATTCTCTTTGTCAGTAAGATGTCCATAGTTATTTTTAAGGGGACCTATCTTATCTCTGACTTATGTTCTATATACCTGGAAAAAACTTTTTGGGTTAGTTTTAGAATCCCTAGCAACTTTAATTTCATAGTCCCTTTTAGCTTTTCTTGTCCCCTTTTTAATGTCCCTCTTAATGTCAATATACTGATTCATAAGATAACCCTCACCTCTTTTAATACGCCTATAAATTCCTTTCTTATGCCCTAGTAGATATTTGAGCCTATTATTCATCCATTTTGGGTCATTTCTATTTGATCTAATTTCTTTATACGGGATGAACGTTCTTTGAGCCTCATGTATAGTGTTCAGAAAACTGTCATATTGATAGCTTTCTTCGTTACCCCAGTCAACAGATGATAAATGTTCTCTAATCTGCTAAGCAAAAATCTGGGACTGTTACTGAGTTATCCCTACTATCATACTTCCATTCAATGCTAAATGTAATTAATTTGTGGTCGCTAGCACCCAGTTCCTCTGAAACTTCTAAATTATTAACAAGGGATTCATTGTTTGCCAGAACTAAGTCTTGTAGGTTTTGTCACAAACTGCTTCAAAAAACAATCCTGAACTACTTCTAAGAAGTCGTATGATTCTAAATTCCCAGTCAAGAAATTCCAATCAATATGACTAAAGTTAAAGTCTCTTAGAATTACTACATTATCGTGCCTTGTGGCCCTAACAATTTCCTCCCATAGTAGTCTCCCCTGGTCCCTATCTAAGTTTGGGGGACGGTATATCACACCTAAAATTAATTTTTCATGCCCCTCTGAAAATTCTATCCAAACAGACTCTGTATGTGTTACTTCAGACTTAATACCCGTTTTTATGCAACAGTTCAAGTGATCTCGGACATAAAATGCCACCCCACCCCCCTTCCTGACACTTCTATCTACTTGGAACAATTTAAAACCCTGAATGTGACATTCCGCAGGCATGTCCCGACTTTTTGAATTAAACCACTTCTCAGTTATGGCAAATACATCATTGTTACCTGCACTAGCAACTAGTCTCAACTCGTCCATCTTATTCCTAGCACTGCGACTATTTGTGTAATATATATTTAAAGACCCTCCTTTGTCTTTACTCTTCCTGCTCCTTTCTGTTATTCCACTAAACCTATTACTGTCCTTGTCAATTAGTGCCACTGGCTTTCCAATATCCACCTCATTTTGCCTATTACTAGTTCTCCTAGTACTCATATTACTACACTTCAACCATACCACTAACTATTCCTAGTTTAAAGACCTAACAGCTCCCCCCAACTGCATTGGCCAGTGCTCCCACCCCACACCTAGATAAGTGAACCCTATCCCTGGCATACATGTCATTTCTGCCATAGAAGAGGCCCCAGTTGTCAGTGAATGTTACCGCATTTTCCTTACAGTATTTGTCCAGCCAGCAATTGACACCAATTGCTCTGGAGAACCATTCATTTCCAACTCCTCTCCTTGGCAAAATGCCACATATGACAGGTTTCCCACCCTTCCTCCTAATTATCTCTATTGCTGACCTATACCTGCTAATCAGGTCCTCACTCCTACATCTGCCAACATCGTTGCCTCCAGCACTGAGACAGATAATAGGATTGCTCCCATTACCTCTTATGATGTCATCTAGATGGCTAAGAATATCCTTCATCCCAGCCCCAGGAAAACACACTCTCTGCCTCCTACTCCTATCCTTCAAGCAGAATGCCCTATCCATGTACCTAATCTGGCTATCCCCAACAACAACGTTTTTACCTTGGCGTCGTCCATCGTGATGCTCCCAGTAGTCGACTCACATTTGTCAGGTGGCATTACACCACTTGTGGAATTCGTCAAGACGTTCTTGATGGTCTTCGTTGGGGTTTCTAGGGATGTCTCACTCACGTCTGCCAATGCTTCCTTGGTGCTCATTGTGGCATTCCCAGTAGAACACCCATGTTCGTCAGGTAGCACCGAGAATGGGTTGGAAGTTTCCACAGTAGTCTTCTGGGTTCTAGTTGTTTCTGCATCTCCAACCATTTTCTTGATCCTCAGCTTGGTTCCATGTTGCCCGGCCACTGACCAAGCTCCCCTCTTAACCTGGGGACTCGCAACAGGAGGATTACTACGAATCCTCTTGTTCTCCTCCGTTAATTGCCGTATCTCCAGCTTAGCAACTCTGAGCTCTTCTCTCAGCTGCTGGTAAAGTTGCTCAAGAGAGGGCATCCTGGTTCAGGGCATCCTGGGTGAGCTCAAGTGATACTGGGGGGAGGGGAGTGGTGAGGGCAAGGGGTCATTCAGTATTTATTTTTTTTTAGTACGTTGATCCAAGTTTTGTTCTATGGTGTTCCTCAAGGAAGGGTCCTTGATGCTGATGAGAGGCTCTTGATTAAAAGAATTAAACCTGTGCTTCAGTTCCTTGAGTCAAGTCTGAATGCTTTTCATATCTCCAGGTGCTTTATGACTGCTACAGGTCCTGCAGCATAAACAGTGTAGACATTCCTGGCACTAAAAAACATTTCCTCTGTTCATTAGTTATGTCCCCAGGCCTCTCCTATATTAAGCTTACTTTCCATTTTGAATTTTTATTCACACAAAAAATAGAAGAGTTACTGTTATTCAGATTACTGCATTATTGTAATAATTGTATAAATAATGTCAGTGCATTTTTGACTGACCAGTTGGATGAGTATTGGACGAGTGACGTAATTTGTGTGCTTTGGAATATTGGCAAAAATTGAATGTTTCTGCTACTTTGAGCTCAATTTCAAGCTACTTTCAGTCCTGAAACCAATCAGAATCATCTCTATTTGTGTAGTATATCTTCCATTCTGTCAAGTGAGACCAAGAAGCTGAGAATACAACCAAAAAAACATACGAAAATACACCACGAAGTTGCTGTTTTAAACCAAAAACACAGTTGCAGTTTTTCCCATTATGCACTGCTTGCTGCAGGATTTTTTTTATATAGTGCACACTTACCTCATACACCCATTCTCTCATATCTAAGCCCAAGTTTACAGCTCACATTTTATCTGAGTGAGCTGAGCTCATAGTGTAGTACTACGGGATGGACCTGTGCTTCAAAGCTATAGTACAACAGGACCCACCCTGAAAGGGTTAACATGGTTCAACTTAAAGGGACTCGTCTACAGTGTAAGGAGGAAAGGGGTATTAAGAGAGCTCACCCTAAGCCCATCTAGAGAACTTTCGCAATATTTTACAGCAGATTGTGGGCTATAAAACTAAAAACTTGGATCTCTTGGACATAACTGAATTACACATCTTAAATGAAGAGTGCATTATTTGTTGATAAAATTTGAAATTTATTACAGACAACTCCTTTTGTGTCGTGTGACTCTGGGCAAGTCATTTCTTCAGTTCTCAGCAATGAAGATGGCTCATGCTCCTCCTGGCCACCATTCAGTTGTGGGGCGACCCAGTGCTGGGGGTCTCTGTTACCCAGAGTACGTTGTCTACAGAGGAGAACAGGTAAGCAGCTCAATTTTGATAAGCACTTAATATTTAGTTGAAAAAAGTTATACATTTCAAGTTAGAATCTGTACTGTAAAAAAAGACCTGAAAATATTTGAAATAATTCATTCTTTGCATCTACTCTACTGATCCCTATAGAATCCCTTAATCTGCCTTCACCTCTTACAGTCGAGGATCATTAGTTTGAACCCCCTTAGTCTGGATGTGGTTACCAGCAGTAAAAACAGAACATGTTTTTTTTTTTCAATTTTGATTTTGTATTAGAACATTTCATTTCCATAAAAGTGTGTTATAATTCATAAATTTTGTTTAAACATTTGTGAACTTGTTAAACATTCATAGATCAAGCTTACCAAAGCACAATAGGCACAATTAAAGAACACTAAAGCAATATCTGTGGTCCACGATTTTTCGTACTTTTGCCAGATGTCAGAAATATTGCTGGAACAAGGGTTGACGTTTTCCAAAGGAGCCTGAACCACTGCCTGCTACAGGTGACAAATATTCATTGAAATGAACTTGTAGAATATTATTTATATAAAATGAAATACAAAGTAAATTTTTATTTTCTTCATTATTTACTAAAAGAGAAAATGTAAAGAATCAAATCTATTTCTGGAGACCCTTCCATAAATAGATAGAAAAATCCAAGTGCACAAATTTGGGCTTTTGATTGTATTTGTTTGATTTTTCACAATCTAATAGTACAGGAGGGCTCCCACTTTATGGAGATTTGATAATGCAGACATTTCATTTTTTTTTTTTTTTAACAAGTCGGCCGTCTTCCACCGAGGCAGGGTGACTCATAAAGAAAATACTTCTATCATCATTCAACACTTTCACCTCACTCACACATAATCACTGTTTTTGCAGAGCTGCTCAGAACACAACAGTTTAGAAGCATATACGTATAAAGATACACAACATATCCCTCCAAACTGCCAATATCCCAAACCCCTCCTTTAAACTGCAGGCATTGTACTTCCCATTTCCAGGATTCAAGTCCGGCTATATAAAGTAACCGGTTTCCCTGAATCCCTGCACTAAATATTACCCTGCTCACACTCCAACAGCTCGTCAGGTCCCAAATACCATTCGTCTCCATTAACTCCTATCTAACACTCTCATGCAGCTGGAAATCTAAGCCCCTCGCCCACAAAACCTCTTTTACCCCCCCCTCCAAACTTTATGAGGACGACCCCCTATCCCGCCTTCCTTCCCCTACAGATTTATACACTCTCCATGTCATTCTACTTTGATCCACTCTCTCTAAATGACCAAACCACCTCAACAACCCCTCTTCAGCCCTCTGACTAATAGTTTTATTAACTCCACACCTTCTCCTAATTTCCACACTCTGAATTTTCTGCATAATATTTACACCACACATTGCCCCTAGAAAGGACATCTCCACTGCCTCCAGCCGTCTCCTTGCTGCAGCACTTACAACCCAAGCTTCTCACCCATATAAGAGTGTTGGTACCACTACACTTTCATACATTCCCTTCTTTGCCTCCATAGATAACGTTTTTTGTCTCCACATATACCTCAACGCACCACTCACCTTTTTTCCTTCATCAGTTCTATGATTAACCTCATCCTTCATAAATCCATCCACTGTCACGTCAACTCCCAAATATCTGAAAACATTCACTTCTTCCATACTCCTCCTCTCCAATGTGATATCCAATTTTTCTCTATCTAAATCAATTTACGACCAAAAATTTGTTTATACAGCTCCCAGAATCGCTGTTAACAGTGTCCATGAACCACTCTGTTTGTTTACATCCTCCATGAGCTCTGCATCTCTCATCTGTGTCTGGAAACTTTTCAAAATTTCAAGTGTTTTAAAGTTATTGCATTATTATGTATACTCTGATAATTGCTCTTGTGTGTACCTGTACCTAAATAAACTTACACACTGTGCTGGCATGCAGGTACACATTAAAATTCCTGCATTCCAGGGAATACAAATGAAGGGGCATCAACCATTTCCAGTAGTTTAGGTGCTTTATTGTATTTATGTGCGCTGTGAAAGTTCTCTGTCACAATTTTTCAAAAAATATATTAATTTTATCTTCTTAAATGGTATAGAATCTTTTTCTGAAGGTAATGATACCAAAAAATGCAAATTAGATGAAACACTTACCTAATTACACAGGTGCAAAATTGGTGGTTTAGGTGCAATTTATGCTTCTACGATTTTACCAACTTTGAACCCTATTTTAAGTTGGTTCCAGTGCTCATTTTGATGCAGTTCCTAACTATTTTGCTAGTATATTTTCCATTTTATTGACCGAGCATATGAAACCACCCATTCAATAATCAGAGCTACCCTATGATGTGCACAGAAGTCGGTAATTTGGCCAATTTTACAAATTTAACAATATCAATTTAGCAAGTGTCCAAAATAAACACTAGGCATTCTACCCATTAAAGCAGCCTTTCCTCTATTCATCAGTTATGTCCTCAGGCCTCTCCTACATAATACTTTTCCCCCATTTTGAATCCATCATCACACAAAAAATGAAAGTTAAACCCTATTTCTCAGATAATGAAATATAACCAGCAATGATTGGTTATGGTTTAGGCCACCCCAATAGACCGGGAAGCAGGGACTCTAACCTTCCTGAGGAAATTCACCAAATAAAAATATTTCTGCTGTTTTGTGCTCTATTTCAAGCTATTTTCAGTTTGAAACTGATCAGAATCATTACAACTTTATTAGGATGTTTTCCATTCTATCAGTTGAGACCAAAAAACATCTAGTAAAACCATAAAAACCACCCTAGAAACACCTCTAAGTCACTATTTCAAACAAAACACAATTGTGGTCAGAGGTTTGCTTTTTGCCCTCATGCACTGCATGGAACATGATTTTTTTTTATACTGTGTACACTCACCACACAGACTCATCCTCATACGTGTAGGCTGAAATTTATTACTCAGTATATTTGAGAGAGGTATAGTTAAAACAGATCTACGCGAGTGACATTAGCATCGATGACTTAGATGTATATATGAGATGGGAAAAGGATTAAATCTTAGTTCACTTCTACTCAAATGACTGCTAACTAAATGTCGTGTGCAAGTGTCATATAATTTGTATGTAATACCTATCTATTTTAGGTATACTAATCTGGAAATGAAATGACTGAGGAAGCAAAAACTTGCACCTCCTCATGATTTTTCCCTCAGATATGTTTTTCATACAAATAATGCTTTCTGTTAAGGGACCATGGGGTGCTCTCACTGAAATTTTACCACCACCACCACCACCACCCATAATGCAGAAGGAAGCTATCAAGTGACATGAAATCCATGTGGGCATAAACCAGAAACAAGAACTTGAGAAGAGTGAAGAATAGTTCTTTTGTTACATAAAGAATTGTGTTGCGAGCAATGCTGTAGCTCTCCCTGATCAACCAATGGCATATCAAACACCAGAACTAAATTTTGCTATCACTGGGTTCTTTGTTTCTATACAGTATTGTAACAATAAATAAATTGAACTTAAGATAGGTATTTACTTCAGTCACATTTCTGAGTTTAGTTGTTATGATAGAATTTGCTTATTGAAAACAGTTTATATAATTGTTTTAATGAATCTGTTTGCCCAGGTTAAATGCTGTATACCTTGTAGATTATATAGGAGCACTTTATGACTCGTTTAAGTTTAGAGTTTATTTCTTAATAAAATACAGCAATAACAATACTACAGATTATAAATTTATACTACAGATTATAAATTTAATCTTTATAATCATACTAGTGGGAATAATTGTTATGAATTTTAACACCTATTGGTATGTATGGGAGTGTGAAAGAAAGGGCTTAATTTGAATATTGTGTATTTAACCTTGAATGAAAGTGGGAAACATGGTGTAATAATGGTCATGTTTATAGTAAAATCTATTGGCAGCTTAACTGCTTCAGAAGAACAATAATAGCCTAAAGGCATTTATGTTATGCATTCTTACTTTACAGGCTTACCCAGAGTACCTCATCACTTATCAGATTGTCAAGCCTGAGGAGTCAGGCCCCAAAGATGATGCTGCTCGAGACAATGACTGACCACTGTTGATAGTTAATACACGTAATTACTCAACAGCTACTGGTGATAAAGTGATAAAATAATTTCAGGACAGCTTTTATAATAGAGTATTTAGTGTTTCTTGATAGAAATGAGAAAACTTCTTACTCCCTCTAACTGTGGCTGGTTAAAACCTCAACATTTATCAGCGCAAGTGGTTGTGATTTTATTGTGTGATAGTGAGCAGAACTGTGCTGACACCACATTATTCCAAAAAGTTTTTGGAAAAAAGGTATTGGTGACTGTGTGAAGCATGGATAATGTTGCACATAGTGAACAGGGAACTCTTTAAAAAAAAAATCCCTCCTGTGGGTTCATCTGTGCAAACCTCATAATGGGATATAATCACTGATACTTCTTTCATTCCATGTAAAAAAATGCAAAGTTTCATTTTTATATTGCGAGTGTATGGTATTGTGAATTTTTTTCAGAGTTCATATATGTGTTCATCTAACACAAATAACTAATCAAGGGTGTGAAGTTACTTTTAAGTTTTTCATCTTTGGTGTTTGTAGCTTGATGATGATGATGATGATATTAGCATTGGTTTCACTTGCTGGCAAGGCTTTACAAATAAGGACAAATGGTTCAGCTTACTTCCGTGTTAAATTTCTCTAACAAGACTTGACGTCGTGGTCTTAATAAAAAAAATTTACCCATCTACTATTTTCCCAATTTTTAAATTGAGTTATATTGTTTTTACTTATATTTTCTCTTATAAATCATAGGGAATGTAAATATATTTAATGATATTCAGTGCAAAGTAATATAAAGCAAAAGTGAAGATGCCTTTGTGTATCAAGAGTTGAAACAGTTAAAAACTATTGTGAAGCGTATTACATTACCAAGTGATTGAGTATCATAAAGGAAAGCTAATCAAAGACACTGATATATAAGGCATTATATATACAAAATAAATTAATATTATAGAGTTTTTATGAGGATAGTGAGGCTCATGTTAGAGTATGTAGGAAAGAGGGAGATTATTTCCCAGTAAAAGTAGGCCTTAGACAAGGATGTGCGATGTCACAGTGATTGTTCAATATATTTATAGATGGGGTTGTAAGAGAAGTGAATGCGAGGGTCTTGGCAAGAGGTGTGGAGTTAAAAGATAAAGAATCAAACACAAAGTGGGAGTTGTCACAGTTGCTTTTTGCTGATGACACTGTGCTCTTGGGAGATTCTGAAGAGAAGTTGCAGAGGTTGGTGGATGAATTTGGATGGGTATGTAAAAGAAGAAAATTAAAAGTGAATATAGGAAAGAGTAAGGTTATGAGGATAACAAAAAGATTAGGTGACGAAAGATTGGATATCAGGTTGGAGGGAGAGAGTATGGAGGAGGAGAATGTATTCAGATATTTGGGAGTGGACGTGTCAGCAGATGGGTCTATGAAAGATGAGGTGAATCATAGAATTGATGAGGGGAAAAGAGTGAGCAGTGCAATTAGGAGTCTGGAGACAAAGAACTTTGTCCTTGGAAGCAAAGAGGGGAATGTATGAGAGTATAGTTTTACCAACGCTCTTATATGGGTGCGAAGCATGGGTGATTGTTGCAGTGAGGAGAAGGCTGTAGGCAGTATGAGGAAGGGTTGTTGAGGTGGTTCGGACATGTAGAGAGAATGGAACAAAACAGAATGACTTCGAGTGTATAAATCCGTAGTGGAGGGAAGGCGGGGTAGGGGTCGGCCTAGGAAAGGTTGGGGGGAGGGGGTAAAGGAGGTTTTGTGTGTGAAGGGCTTGGACTTTCAGCAAGCATACGTGAGCGTATTTGATAGGAGTGAATGGAGACAAATGATTTTTAATACTTGACGTGCTGTTGGAGTGTGAGCAAAGTAACATTTATGAAGGGATTCAGGGAAACCGGTAAGCCTGACTTGAGTCCTGGAGATGGGAAGTACAGTGTCTGCACTCTGAAGGAGGGGTGTTAATGTTGCAGTTTTATAAACTCTAGTGTAAAGCACCCCTCTGGCAAGACAGTGATGGAGTGAATGATGATGAAAGTTTTTCTTTTTTGGGCCACCCTGCCTAGGTGGGAATTGGCCGATGTGTTAAAAAAAATATATATATATATAATATGCTCCATGGGGAAGTGGAGATTTCTTCTTCCGTAAACCATGTGTGTCGTAAGAGGCGACTAAAATGCCGGGAGTAAGGAGCTTGTAGCCCCTTCTCTATGAATTGCTAAATGTAAAAAGAAAAACTTTTGTTTCTTCTTTTGCAGGTCAACCTGTCTCAGTGGGGGATGGCTGATGTGTTAAAAAAATTTATATATAATAAATACACACATACATATACATATATACATACACACACATGCACTCTCACACACACATTTTCTCTCAACGGCTGTCTTCTGGTAGGCAGGGTGACCCCAAAGAAGAAAACACGTTCTTTAACATTTGCACAGTTGCTGTGTTTCCAGAAGCATGCTGACATTACAGCCTCAAATGACCTTCCAAATTGTAACATCCCCACCCCTCTGATAGTGTAGGCACTGCACTTCCCACCTCCAGGACCCTAAGTCCAACTACCCAGTTTCTATGAATCCCATCATAAATGTTACTTTGCTCACATTCCAACAGCACATCTCATCATAAAAACCACCTGTCTTCACTTCTAACACTAGTCTGTTGCATGTCCAAGCCCCTAGCACTGAAAACTCTTTTCTTCCCCTCCCTCTAACCATTCCTGAGACAACCCATACCCCTTCCCTGTTCAAACCACCTAAACAGCCCTTCTGCCTTCTGAATAATACTTTTGGTAGCCCCACATCATCTAATCTCCTCATTCTGAATTTATTTATAATCTTCATGTTCTGTATTTACTTATTTTTTATTAACACATCAGCCATTTCTCACTGAGGCAGAGTAACCCAAAAAAAGGAGAAAACACTTTCATCACTCACTCCATCACTGTTTTGCCAGAGGTGTGCTGACACTACAGTTAAAAAAACTTCAGCAAATCTCCACTCCTCCTTCAGAGTGCAGGCACTGTACTTCTGAATACTCTTCATAATATTCACACCACATTCTCCCCTCAAACATGACATCTCCACTGCCTCCAGCTTCCTCTTAGCTGTGAAGAGGAATAGTATTGGTAGCACTATACTCTGGTACATTTCTCTTTTTTGCCTTCTTGAATAAGTTTTTTTTGTCTATACAGATGTCTCAGCGCACCACCACCTTTTTCAGCTCTGTGGTTCACCTAATCTTTCATAGACCCATCTACTGACAAGTAAACTCTCAAATGTCTAAATAAATTTACATCTTCCTTACTCCCTTCCCTTAATTTGTTATTCAGTCTTTCATTGTGTAGATTTTCTGTTTTTTTTTTTTTTATATAGATTCGCTGGTATTCTCCCGGCCCGGGCCTTTTCGAAGTGGTGGCCTGGCCTTGGCTCCTTGTCTAGGGAGTGTCTGAGACCTAAGTCTCCCATGGGAGGAGGCACACGTACCCCCTTATTTTTGGGACCAACTGTCCCCAGGCCTAGCCACAGTCCCTGCCCTCCCCAGGCTCGCAGGGAGAAGCTAGGCCTCTGGTCTACCATCTGACCCGCCCCAAAGGGGCTTGTGGGGATGGCAGTCTTGTGAGCTGCAGGTGGGAGCAAGCTCAGGCTTGTCTATCTTTTTATTTTCGTTACCTAACTCTTTCTTAAGTCACATTCAGTATCCTAATAGAGATACTGTTTAGAGAATTCAGAACGTATAAATTAAAGGGTTATGCCGGATCATCAAGGGTAGAAGTCAGTGTGCTGAGGAAAGGTTGTTGAGGTGGTTTAGCATGAAGGTTAGGCTGACAAAGAGGTTGTATAAATCTGGGGTAGAAGGCAGGGATAGGGGTCATCCCAGGAATGGTTAGAGGGAAGGGGGTTAAAGAGGTTTTTGAGTTTTAGGTGCTTGAACATCCAGTGGGCTTGTTTGAGTGTGTTCGATAGTGAATGGAGATGAGTGTTTTTTTTTTTTTATGGATGTCCTGTTGGAGTATGAGGAATACAACTTTTGTGGAGGGATTTAGGGAAACCAGTTAACCAGACTTGAATCCTGGAGGTGGGAAGGGCAGTGCCTGTACCCTAAAGGAGGGGTGGGGATGTTGTAGTTGGAGGGTAATTTGGTTGTGATGTCAGTACACTGGAAAGATGGCGATTAAATGAATGTTAATGAATGTGTATTTTTTCTTTAGGGTTACCCTGCCTTGGTGGGAGACTGCCATTCCTGGGATGACCCCTACCCCTCCTACCATCCATCTCAGATTTTACACCCACTTTGTCATGCTATTCCTCAGTAATAATAATAAGTTAAGCACTGAACTCGAGGGGATCATACAGCTCTGCAAGGAGAAATGCACAAAGGTGGTAGGAGAGTGAAGGACAGGAGTGTGCTAGGACAGGGGTTAATGGGGGCAGGGAAGAGTGCAAGAGGAAAATAAGTTAGTGTCTGTAAAAAAGTTGGAGAGTGCATCAAAGGTGAAACATCCCTCTGCATAATACTTGTACACAAACTCATATTTAAAAAATAATTGATGGTTCCTCTAAAAATCCTGCTTAATAGCCATGCAATCTCTCAGTTAAGTATATCAGTTCACATCGTTAGACAAAGTAATCATTATAACATATTACTAGAAGTATGTTTTCCTTTGCATACTCGAATGTAATTGAACTTGAGTGATGCAAGACATTTTTAAATCAATTCTTGGAAAATATAGTTATGGGAACTGACTTTTCCATGAATTTTGTGCATATGATTTAAGAAAATTTCTGTAGTGTTGAAGATTTGTAATCTCTTTTGGCACTTTCAACTCGGGACATCAACATTTATATCGTTCATGTATTCTCTAAATATAATGTCCTGTGATATTTTTTATGTATGATATTTTTAGAGAATGAAGGCCTCTTCAAGTGGGCTCTTTGGTGTGGTGAAGAGGCTTTTGGTCTGAGGAATTGGACCTTTTGGTCTTCTTCCTCTGCCTGAACCTAATTACCCCCCACTCCCTCTTCCCTTATCCCATCCTCCCTATACCTTTCCCTTTCCTCCTCCTCCTCCTCCCTATTCCTTCTCTTTCCCTATTCTATTTTCAGCCTTTGGAGTCTTTCCCTCAGGCATCCTAGTTCCTAAGTAGGGGAAAGGGTACTGTGATCCATCCCATTCCGTTGAGGTCCTTGGTAATGGAGTAGTTTGCCGTGGAATCTGGAGATATCCCAATCCCTCTCTGGTCTACCGGGGGAGGCTTCAGGTGTTTTTCGGATGACGGGTGTATCTCTGGAGGCTTCCTGTTGGATTCCGGGAGGTGGTGGCTGAAGGAGGTATGCTTTGTGACAGGTATCCAACCGCCCTCTCTTTTGTCCACTGTGGTGGCTCGATAGATGTGAGGTTGCTATCCTGGATTGCTGGTTTACTGGCATGAAGTGTAGGGTATGGCACGAGTTCCATGCTGGCTGCACTGAAGTCCTCTTGGATGTGGAGGGGGATTTACGGCCTTTTCATTCCTCCTAGGAACTATCCCTCCACATTCCCCCCTTTTTTCCTTTCCCTTTTATGGAAAAACAAAAAGAAAAATGTGATCTAACCATGGAGTCCCAAATCCATGAAACTTCTCCTCATGGGCGTCTTTCTGCTGCAGCACCCTCTTAAGATCCTGTCTCGTTATTGGACAATTCTTCAGACCGTTCTAATGCTCCAGTACCTTCTGCAGCTAACATTTTGGTGCTCGCTTGTGGTACCGAGGTTCCTCCTGACTCCATCGATACATCCGACCTCCACACGTCTTTGACCATGCTTCTAGCTTCTCCCACTATGGTGCAACAATTTTCAGATTGCCCACATATCTCAGGACGGACCACCTCCGGTCCCACACCTAAACGACCAGTACCATTAACAGACGACACTGCTGCAATTACTTAACTTTTCCCAGAAAAAAACAACACGACACTTGCTTCCCTTACACACTACACAATGGACTAAGTTTTTCCCCCTGCAACCGACAACTGACCTCTACTAACAGATGTTAGTAGAGGTCCATTATATGTTTGTTGCCCGTTTACTCCATATCTTCTCTTCAGTTGCCCCCGTTTGTGTTTATATAGCATCTAACTTTTCCCCTTCCCCCTGGGAGGTTCTGACAGTTCATGCCTGTCCTTTCCCACTGCCATGCGCAAAAGCCTAATTACCTACAGTTGCTCCTTGCTCTCTTTCTTAACCATTTCTGGTCTCATTCTCATACCATTGCAGTGTACACTGATGGTTCCAAATCCTCTGATGGTGTCGGGTTTGCAGCAGTGTTCCCGGACAGCGTAGTATGAGGGCATTTATTAGACTCGGCTAGCATTTTTACAGCTGAATTATATTCAGTTCTCATTTCAATCATTCATGTTACATCTACGCCTACCTCAACATTTGTAGTAGTCTGATTCCCTTAGTGTTTTGCAAGTTATTCAAAAAATTTATTCACTTCATCCCCTAGTTCTTTGTAGACAACTTTGGTTATGCTGCATTTCTAGCAAAAACAAAGATTGTTTTCTGTTGGATCCCTGGTCTTGTTGTGTTCAGGGCAATGAGCAGGCAGACTCTCTTGCATGGTCTGCAGTAAATGACTCCCTAGTTTCATATAGAGGTCTTCCATTCTCAGACTTATTTTGCTATAATCTCTAGCCATCTTTGCAACTGTTGGCAACAACATTGGTCTAATATGACTCATAAGTTACATTCTGTCAAACCAAGTTTAGGTTTCTGGCCTTCTTACCATCGATGCCAAGGTTGGGAGACTATGCTCTCCTGTCTTTGCATTGGGCACACCCGTCTTACTCATGGGTATCTCATGGAGAAGTGTACTGTCCTTCTCCGCGAGACTTGTCAGGTTCCAATTTCGGCTTGTCACATTCTATTGGATTGTCCTGTCTTTCAACGAACATGCAAAATTTACCTCTGACGTTGTCACCACTTACTTTATCTTCCCTCCTTGCTGATGGACCCACCTTTGACAAAGACTCCCTCCGACTTTTCGACAGCAACCGATTTATTACACAAACCTTGAAAATACTTCCTTTAGCATTCCTCACAGCCCTTCCTAACTCAACCTTTGTTGTCCTCTCCACCCTTACTTATCCTCTGATCCTGTATCACACTCTGCTCTACAGCGCTGTGGGTTTTGCGCTTCTTTTTAATTAATAATAGAGAATAACGGAACTAAATTTTTTGTGACCTAGTTCATGTCTCCAACTTAAAATGAATGAGCTTTTATACTATGTTCATGTATAATTTTTGAACAACTATGAACTGTTGCTTAGAGGCTGTTTAGTAGAGAATAAATTTTTGGAATAAAATCAAAATATAGAAAATTAGTTTTAATATTTGTAGCTTTTTTTTTTTCATTTACTGAATTTTATAAAAAAAATCAAATTAAGCAGACCTTGAAAAGTGAGGAAAGGGGCTAAATTATTATTATAATCAAGGGGGAAGCGCTAAACCCGGAGGATTATACAGCACCTGGGGGGGGGGATGTGGAAGGCATTCAGGCTTAATTCGGGGAACTGGACCACAGATCCAATTCCCTAAATCAAGAGCCCCTCACCAACATCAAGGAACCTTCCTTGAGGGGTGGAAAGGGGCTAAAGCTCACCTAGCATATCTGGGAGAAACAGTTTACCATAAGAGTTATTCTATGAAATCTGTTAACTTGTACATATAATTTAAAATGTGTTTAGTTTGATAAGTACACATACGCAATTGACCAGTATTACAGTTTCAACAATTTTTATTTGGAAATATTAAAAGTTGTACCGGTCATTGTTGGAGTAGGGTGTATACTGTCTTACGCTTACAAACCTTATTCTTACACTTAAATGAAATATTCATAAGTTTCCATATTTTTTTTTATTATAACCAGAAAGATTTTTTTAATCCTTTTTATTTAATGTATGTATGATGACCCTATATTAGCATTTTGTAAAAAAAAAAAAAAATATTGTATGTTAGCTAGATATATGGCTACCACCTAATGCCCTCTTTTTGACTTCACATAGATAGCTTCAGTTATATATTGATGGCAAGGTTTTCCATAATTTTTTATCAAAATTAAGAACTAATTTCAGTGGCATGATCTCCAGTAAGTTTAATTTAACGTCTGCATAAATGAAGCTATATTAAGGATACACAGAAATGGCATTTTTTTTTTTTTTAAAACCATTAGCTGCTTAATTTCTTTGTACAGCCTTTAATACTTAGCTATAATGTTTGTTGCCACAGCATTTTGATACGTTCTTACTACTATAGAAACTTAAGCAACCAATCAGGTTTTGTTTATTTTCTTGCCAGAATATTTGCAGCTTTTTGTAGTGGGACCACTGATGGAACAATAATATCACAGCTCCTCATAGGAGATGCCTTGTTAGTGAAGGGCTCTTGATTCAAGGAACTCGACTTTTCCTCCCCTTCCTTGGGTACAAATGCTTCCCAGGCACTAAGACCCCTACAGGTTTAGCACTTCCCTGTGATTATTACAATCACAACTAAGCGCTAAACCCTCCGTGATTAAAATGAAAGAATATCATCCCAGCCTCCAGTCCATGTTATGATGTAGAATATTTTCTTTAGTTACATAATAATGTAATAAAACTGTGTTGTTGAATTTTTGTACAAATCCATGTAAATACTGATATGAATTTTACAGTGTAAATATCTTCAATAAAATGTGAAATGCTTAATATGACTTTAGAATACACACGAAAAAATTTAGTTAAATTTCTTGCATGTTTTTTGCTCATCTTTAATCAGCAACGGGGCTCTGGTCCCAAGGAACTGAATCTCTTCCACTGCCTCTGTTCAAATATAAAACACCTCCTCCCCATCTGCCTTTCCATTTGGCATCCTTAATGAGGAAATTTCTTGTGAAATCCAGCTCCTTGATAGTCCAGTTCTGATGGAATTGTACTATCAAATGTAGCTCAAGAGCTGGTTTAGAAAGACACGTAAGCAAACACTATAACATATTTATTAGAAAACGTTTCGGTCCTGGGACCTTGATCACTTCTAACATACAGAGGTAGAAAGACATATATATAGGCGGAGAGCGAGATGTGACGCACGTGACCTGAGGAATGTCATAAGAATGGAGGAACACTGTAGAAGGCCTACTGGCCCATGCGAGGCAGGTCCTTATCAAAACAACCTCTACCTATGATGAGGACGGGTAAACGATGAAATCATGTGACCCCTGTGTTGTTGGGTTGGTGCTGCTTAAGTATCATGTATGCCAATGTTTTTGAAATTTTGTAGTTTCCAGTGTTGCGTTCTATAGTGTCGGTGGCGGCGATTAGCGAGGCTTCTAGGCACAGTCGGCGTCCGAGGTCTGGTTCGGTGAGAACGAGTTGTGCCTCGTTCCAGTTCATCAAATGCCCCGTGGAGTCTCTGGAGGACACAGGCGTACCTTACATCGTCTCTGTTAGAGGCATTTCGATGCTCATTCAGGCAGACTGCAAGATCTCTGCCTGTCTCGCCTACATATTTCTTGGGACAGAACCCACAGGGGATAGTGTAGACGCCTGCTGTAGAAGTTAAGAGGTGTGGGGCTGCATTTCATAGTGAGGTCTTTGATAGATGTGTTTATGGTGGAAACGTTGATGTTACTCATAGCAAGTGCCCGGCGAGTATTCGTGGCAACATCGCCACATGGGAGTACTATGAACTGTTTAGGGGGCTGTTCCATGGGCAGTTTGTTGAGGATAGCTTGTGCCTTGAGTCTGCAATCTCGGATGAAGAAAGATGGGAACTGAAGACGTGTTAAGGCTTGTGTTATGTAAGTGCATTCTTCTTCTAGAAAACAAGGGCTGGAGATGCGAAGAGCTCTCAAGAAGAAGCCAATGAGGACTCCTCTCTTAGTGCTGGTGTCTTGGTGTGAATAAAAGTGTATAAGATCGTCCTTGTTGGTAGGTTTCAGAGAAATTCAGCACCCTCATTCCCAACACCGTTACCTGGCTAAGATACGTTGATGATATATTGGTTTTCTATCCGTGACGTCTCAGTATCCAGGCCCTTCTCAACAAGATCAATGCAGTTGAACCACAATAAATTTTACATTTGAACTCGAAAATGAGGCAAATTTCCTTTCCTCGACGTTCAAATTTGTGCGATCTCCCGACAGTGACAAACTTCTTTTCAAAGGATAAAAAAAACCCTCCAACAAGGACGATCTTAACATTTTTTATCACATCTAACACCCGCACTAAGAGAGGAGTCCCATTGGCTTTTTTTTTTTTGGGGACCTTCGCATCTCCACCCTTTTTTTCTAGAAGAAGAATGCACTTACAAAACACAACCTTTTACACTCTTCATTTCCCCATCTTTTTTCATCCGAGATTGCAACCCAAGGCAAAAAGCTATCCTCAACAAACCGCCCATGGAACACCCCCCAAACAGTTCATAGTACCCCATGTCGATGTTGCCACAATACTCGCCGGGGACTTCATGAGTAACATCAACTTTTTCCCCCATAAACACATCATCTATCAAAACCTCACTACAAAACCCCCCCACACCTCTAAATTCTACGCAGGCGTCTACACTACCCCTGGGGTTCTGTCCCAAGAAAATGTAGGGGAACAGGAAAGATCTTGCAGTCCGCCTGAATGACATCGAAATGCCTCTAACAGAACGATGTAAGGGAGCCCGTGTCCTCCACAGAGACTCCATGGGGCATTTATGAACTGGAACGGCAACTCGTTCTCACCGAAACCGACCTTTGGACCCGATGGGCCTAGAACCCCACTAATCGCCTCACCGACACTATAGAACGACACTGGAAACTACAAAATTTCAAAAACTTGGCATACATGAACTTAACACACCAACCCAACAACACAGGGGTCACATGATTTCATCGTCTACCCGTCCTCATCATAGGTAGAGGTTGTTTTGATAAGGACCTGCCTCGCATGGGCCAGTAGGCCTTCTACAGTGTTCCTCCATTCTTATGTTCTTATGACATTCCTCAGGTCACGTGCGTCACATCTCACTCTCCGCCTATATGTATATAATGTCTTTCTACCTCTATGTTAGAAGTGATCAAGGTCCCAGGACAAACGTTTTCTAATAAATGTTATAGTGTTTGCTTACGTGTCTTTCTAAACCAACTTGTCGGTATTTATTACCAAGGTTTATACCAGCTCAAGAGCTCCACACCAGATGGTCTCCATCTGGTGAGGAGTTCTTGAGCTACAGAATTAGATCTGTGGTCCAATTTATTGAAACTAGTCTCAATGCCTTCCATTCCATCCAGGGGTTTTATGACCCCTTTGGTTAAGCTCCCTCATGAATGCAATTATAATAAGAAATGAAGCACTAAACCTACCCATGAATGCAATAATACAGTTCTAGCAACTAAACACTAAACCATCCTCGATGCTGGTGAAGGGCTCTTGATCTAGGGAATTTGATCTGTGCTCCAGTTACCTGAATTAAGCCTGAATACCTTCCACATTACCCCCCCCCCCCCATAGGTGCTGCATAATCCTATGGGTTTAGAGCTTCCCCCTTGATTAGAATAATCACTAAACCACTGATAGGTATATGACTATCATTCATTCTAGTTAGTCCATCACCCAGTATTAGCTGACAGTTTTGCTAGTCTAGCTCAAGTCGATTCTATTAGTGCCATCCTCATATGCACCAGATAGGTAAGAGGTTATTTCCAGGCCATACCACCAGCTCCTCCCCAGACAACTTGGTTTTACCTTCACAAGCTCCATTTTAGCCAAATAGCTCCTCACAATCCCTCCCTCTCTGAAATGAGCTAAGGTAGGATAACAGCTCACCACCTGTATAACAGCTATGAACAAAGCTCATCCCCTGTCAAACTGAGCTATATACAAAAAATATATAGTAGCATGGGAGTCAGGAAAGCCCATATATTACAATCAAAACTAAGCACTAAACCCATAAGGGTCATAATGTGCTGCAGGGTAGGGCATGCTAACAGCTTAATATACTTTATCTGACACTAGCGGGGGTGGAGAATATAAGAGCTAGTAAGGGCGGTGAGAAATGCCAGAAGTATAATCAAAAGCTGTACAAGAAATCTGTTACTGTCAAAAATTCAAAGTGGGAGTGTGTCAAAGGTGGGGCCATCAGCAAGGAGGGAAGATAAAATAAGGGCATTAGAGTGGTGACATTATTAGAGGCAAATTCTGCCTGCTTACTGGTAAACAGGGCAGTCTAATACAATATGGTAAACTAATTGAATCCTGACAAGTCTTAAGAGTAGAAATGGGTGCCTCACCATGAGATACCCATGAGTGAGAGGTGTGCCTGATGCAAAGACAGGAAAGCATAGCCTCCCAACCATGACACTGATAAGACCAAAATCCTAAACAAAGCATGATAGAATGTAATATGTTACAAATCAACTCAGACCAATGTTGTTGCCAACAGTTGCAAAGGTGACCAGAGATTACTGCAAAATAGTCTGAGAATGGAATACCCCTATAGGAAACTGGAAGGTCATGTACCAATTACCACACAGCAGTCTGCCTACTTGCTGCCCTGAATGTCAACATGACCAGGGACCCAGCAGATAACTTTTTGTTTTTGCTACAAATGTGGCGCAGTGAAAGTTGTATACGAAGAACTATGGAAAGAGGCAATTTAAATTTTCTGATAGCCTGCAAAGCACTAAAAGAGTTTGAAACTACCATGAATGTTGAGGTAGGCTTGGATGCAATATGTATAATTGCTTGTACAGTAGTTCAGCTGTGAAAATGCTAGCTGAGTAATAGATTACCTCACAATGTCTGGGAACACTGCCATCAGTGTAAAATGCAAGGGCATAAGAATGAGACCTGAAGTGGTGAAAAAAATAGTGAGAAGGAACTGAAGGTATTTAAGCTTTCACGCAGAGCAATAAGGAAGAACAGAAACTGTCAGAGCCTCCCAAGGGGGGCAGATAAGTTAGATGCTAGATGAACATATAAAGGGGGCAACTGAAGACTTCAGAAACCAAGAGTGAGTGAAGACAAAAAGAGATGGGGTCAACAAATAATGGACCTCTACTAATGTTCATTACCATCCTGTATATGTGGAAAAATCGTGAAGGTCACGAGCAGACAAAATATCAGAGGCAATGGCATCACACCGATTGTTCAAGGATGGAATAGTCGCCTCTGCACATAAGCTCTTGACAGGGAAGGAATGACAGGCACTTAAATGATGAATGGGGTCAAGTTTAGAAAGAGTTGCAGGACAGGCCGCAGAATATATCTGGTCACCACACTTTCAATAAAATTAAGGCTGAATAGTCTTAGAGTTCAGTTGCAGGATGCATAGTTATGGTCAGCAGCACCACAGACTGGACATTCTGCCATGGACCTGCAATATTTCACTGGGTTGCTGAAGCACCAGCATTTTTTTACATTGTTGTGGTGTAGGAATCAATTCCCATGCTTGTAAACTGTCCCACACAATATATAGAGGATGGAAGTTCGTGGCAGTCAAAAGTTAACCGAGCAACATTGCAGATAGTGTGTCTGCCTATGGGCAGGTAGTATACAAGTAGCCATTTTAAGAATTGGGAGGTCTTGGAGCTCAAGTTGCTCCAAGACTTCCTAATCTTAAAGTGGAACAATGATACATGTATGTGGAAGAACTACAGTACCACTGCAAGAATTAGAGGGGGTTTATGAATCGTGACTGGAGTATCGTCACTGGAGGTAAGATGGGAAAGATGGTGTGCCTGGCTAGCATTTCCTACCATAATGCGTGCACCACTCGTACAGCACCTGTACTTTGAAGGATGGGTGGAGGATGTGTTAATTCAAAGAACTTGAATCTAGATATTGGCATATTTCTGGCATTTCCTTTGATTCAGAATAACCTGGTGAAAAAAGATCAAAGTAGTAAAGTAACATTTTTTGAAGCAGGAAAGTGATAACCACAAAAAATCCACAATATTTAATGTACATATAAACTTAAAATAACTACAATACAGTGCTAGTACATAAATTCCTTAAAATGTTTAAGAATGCAAAATAAGTTAAAACTATAAGATACTGTACATATATAGTGTGCACCTTTAAAACAAACATTTACTTCAAATAATTTTCTTTTACTCACAAAATATAAGATCTGACTGAACATTAGTTTAGCAATATTGTCTCGTGTGTTTATGAACACACACTGCACAGTAGAATAGATACGTCTTTACTAGACACCTAAAACATACTAATCTATACATTTTTTTTTTTGTAGCTATCATGGAAGTTGTTAAAAGAAAAAAATCTTACATTTCTTTTTTTGCATTAATATGTAGCTCTGGCCTGATGTCTCTTACAAGCTGCAAAATACGCTCAATCACCTGCAAGACAATTTATATAGTTAAAATTTTTGTAGTGAAATACCAAAAACTATTAAATTTAGCAATTTGCATGGCTCTTTCACGTGTGTGCTTAGGCCATTGAAAATTAACTTCTGAGAAGACAAAGCATGTCTTCAAACAAAAAAATACAACTAATTTTTAAGTGAAGCCCATTAAACATCAATTCTGTAATATGTACTTAAAATAACTTTTGGATTGGAAATTATTATTATAATCAAAAAGAAGCGCTAAGTGTGGATTGGAAAGTATTTTCATATCAATTTTAAATTAAATTAGCCGACATCAAGATTATAGGTAGTAGGTTGGTAGACAGCAGCCACCCAGGGAGGTACTACCGTCCTGCCAAGTGAATGTAAAACAAAAGCCTGTAATTGTTTTACATGATGGTAGGATTGCTGGTGTTTTTTGTTTTGTCTGTCTCATAAATATGCAAGATTACAGGTATGTCTTGCTACTTCTACTTACACTTAGGTCACACTATACATACATGTACATGTTTATTTATACACACTCATCCGAGTTTTCTTTGATTTTATCTTAATAGTTCTTGGTCTTATTATTTTTCCTTTTATATCCATGGGGAAGTGGAATAAGAATCTTTCCTCCGTAAGCCATGCGTGTTGTAAAAGTCAACTAAAATGCGGAACAATGGGCTAGTAACCCCTTTTCCTGTAAAATTACTAAAAAAATGAAGAAAATTGTCAAAGTGGGAAGTCTGAATGTGCGTGGATGTTTTTGCAAATAAGAAGAGAAGATTGTGAACTGTTATAAATGAGAAGCTGGATTTTCCTGGCTTTAAGTAAACAAAGCGAAGGGGGTGGAGAGTTTCAGTGTGGAGGAATAAATGGGATTAGGTCAGGGTTTCAAATAGAATTAGAGTAAAGGAGTAGCTAATGTTTGACTGGATAAGATATGGCAGGAAAAAGAGGGACTATAAATGTATTAAGTCAAGGATTATGTGAGTAAAATAAAGGTTGGATGTGAAAAGTGGTTATAGTAAGTTATATGCACCTGGAAAAGAGAAAGGAAAGAAAGAAAAAGAGAGAAAAAAAAGAAAAAGAGAAAGAAAAAGAAAGAGAAAAAGAGAAAGAGAGGAAAAGAAAATGAAAGAAGAGAAAGAGAATGAAGAGAGAAAGAGAGAGAGAAAGAGAAAGAGAGAAAGGAGAGAAAGAGAGAGAAAAGAGAGAGAAAGAGAGAGAAAGAGAAGAGAGAGAGAAGGAAAGAGAAAGAGGAGAGAGAAGAGAGGATAGAGAAAAGAAAGAGAAAGGAAAGAGAGGAAAGAAAAGAAGAGAAAAGAAAGGATGAAAGAGAAAGAGAGGAAAGAGAGAGAGAAAGAGAGAAAGAGAGAGAAAAAGAGAGAGAAGAGAAAGACAAAGAGAAAAAGAGAAGAGG